GCATGGCTCCCACACCCCGTTTTCAACCATGACGGCCTCCTGCAGCCCTCTGCTAGCAAAAACGGAGCTCGGGGGTCTGCGTGGCCCCCCCAGCTCCGTTTTTGCTGGCAGTGGGCTGCAGGAGGCCATCCAGGCTGAAAATGAGGCATAGGGTCTCAAGGAAGTCCTTCCTTAGCCCTTGGCCACCACACGTGCCTCCGATACGAGTCCCACGGCCCTCCGAGGTCGACCCTGATTCGCCCCTCAATGAATTCAAGCTTGATACCCCTGCTATAGGGTGTTGATCTCCTTAGGCCACTTTGCTCCCTCATTACACAAATACACATCCCTTGATATGCTTATGTCGAATCAGCATTCAAGTTTATGCAGCTTGGAGATGGGAAATTGTTCTTCTGCCTGATCATAAAAATAATCCAGGCGGTACTGTTTTAAGATCTTTAAGTTCTTTACATCGAGATATCTATGTAAAGAGGGAATATGTAAAGAGGGAGCAATTACTGTACAGTCTTCTTTAAAACTCAGCTCCAATCAAGCTGTAAAAAGATGATATGGTCAACATACTTGCCTAATAAATGTGCCCACGGTGTATATGCTGGTACCCAAATTTTGACCTCCCCACGACTGTGGGGATTGCTGTGTTGGTTGTAACAGAGAAGACCGGTTGTTAAGTCCCTTTTTTCAGTGCAGTTGTAATTCCGAATTTTTGCTAAATGAATGGTTGTAAGTGGAGGGCTACCTTTAGTTCCCACGCAATTATACAACTAGCCCGTTAAAAAGGATACCGTCACCGCATTTGCCTGCTTCCAGACGAGGGTGTTGTGACATTACTGCGCCTCGCTTATAGGATTGTTACAGGTGGACTGTGTAACTATCTGTCAAACAGCTGCCACTTTCCTCCTGTATTTTTTCCAGCAGTCCAATTTCCTGGTAAGGTGGGTGGAAAAGAACCACACCCTTATGCAGTGTAAGGGGACTCAAAATGGTGCAGGAATAACACCGATGCCTTATCCTATTTATAACCGTTTCTGAAATCGTCCAACTGGAGACAATTTGGGTTGGTCCAAGGCCAACAGGCAAGAAGGCCTGTTGATGAACCACCGGCAAATGTTCAAAGTTGAGCCACCCTTTAAAAAATTGTGCCTGTTGATCTCGCCGGATTGAGTGCTACATGAGACGCGGGGTGTTGGCGAGCGAAATACAGTTTTCGTCTTGTACATGGATTGTTTGCCTGGCTCAAGAAAGGATGTGATTGTTTGGGAGGGCTGGGCATGACTGTCGGGGTGGGCAGGATTATGTTAAGAATGAACATTGCCAACTGGAGTGATGATGTCTTCTTGGAAACCATTAAAGATTTAAACCTTCTCCTTGATTGTCCGTGGTGCAAGTGTAATTTTACATTCGTTTCCTGCAAGATTCATTTCCAGGATGGACGCTGCAGAGAGAGATGCACAGGGGTAACAGATAACATAAAAAGGGTTGGAAAGGACCTTGTAGGTCATCTAGTCCAACCCCTTGCCCAAGCAGGAGATCCTACACCATTTCTGACAGATGGGAGTCCAATCTCTTCTTGAAAGTCTCAAGTGATGGCACTCCCACAACTTCCGAGGGCAATTTCTGTTCCATTGGTTGATTGTTCTCACTGTCGGAAAGTTTCTCTTTATTTCCAGGTTAAATCTCTCCTTGTTCAGTTTCCATCCATTATTCCTTGTCTTGCTTACAGGCGCTTTAGAAAATAGCTTGACCCCTTCCTCCTCTCTGTGGCAGCCCCTCAAATATTGGAAGACTGCTATCATGTCTCCCCTGGTCCTTCTCTTTACTAGACTCGACATGCCCAGTTCCTGTAACCGTTCTTCATATGTTTTAGTCTCCAGTCCCCTAATCATCCTGGTTGCTCTTCTCTGTACTTTTTCTAGAGTCTCAACATCTTCTTGTAATGTGGTGAACAAAACTGGATGCAGTACTCTAGGTGTGGTCTTACTAATATAGAGTGGTATTAGTACCTCCCTTGATCTTGATTGTATCCCTGAGCTAATACAACTTAGGATTGCATTAGCTTTTTTGGCGGCGGCTGCACACTGCTGGCTCATATTTAGCTGGTTGTCCACTCAGACTCCAAGATCCCAAGATCTTGAGAAGAATAAGTGGTGCCTGGATCAAAAGTAGTAACTGTGAGAGGGATCTTGGGAGTCCTAGTGGATGATCACTTAAATATGAGCCAGCAGTGTGATGCAACTGCCAAAAGAGTCAGCATAGTTCTAGGCTACATTAATGGAGGGATAGAATCAAGATCATGTGAAGTGTTAATACCACTTTATAAGGCCTTGGTAAGTCCACACTTGGAATACTGCATCCAAATTTGGTCGCCACAATATAAACAAGATTTTGTGACTCTAGAAAGAGTGTAGAGAAGAACCACAAAGATTATTAAGGGACTGGAGGCTAAAACATATGATGAACAGTTGCAGGAATTGGGTGTCTAGTTTAATGAAGGACTGGGGTGACATTATAACAGTCTTCCAATATTTGAGGGGCTGCCACAAAGAATAGGGGCTCAGCTTGTTTTCCAAAGCACCGGATGGCCAGACAAGGAATAATGGATGAAAACTGATCAAGGAGAGATTCAACCTAGAAATAAGGAGGAATTTTCTGACCGTGAGAACAATCAACCAATGAAACAGAAATTGCCTTCAGAAGTTGTGGGAGCTTCATCACTGGAGGCTTTCAAGAAGAGACTGGTGTCAGAAATGGTGTAGGGTCTCCTGCTTGGGCGGGGAGGGTTGGACTGGATGACCTCCAAAGTCCCTTCCAACTTTTGTTATTCTGTTAAGTTTGTGGCGGAGGATATATTTGAGAATTTAAGATTGTGCACTCTGCTTTACTAGATCAACATAAGTGATCAACATTTTATTTATTTTTCCCACCTTTCCTACTTTATAAGTAACTCAAAGCAGCAAACATACATAATACTTCTATTTTCCCCATAAGAACAATCCTGTGAGTTAAGTTGGGCTGAGAGAGAGAGAGTGTGGCCCATAATCACCCAGCTGTCTTTCATGCCTACAGAACTCAGTCTCCTGGTTTCTAGCTTGGTGCCTTAACCACTGGATCCCTAAATATGCCTAAATAGAGAATTGGCACAAGTGACAAAGCAATAACTAAGAATCCTGTACTATTACCCACAAACTCTGACCCTTCTAACATTGTGGAATATTTGAAAGTCGGTGTCTGCTGGAATGTTATAAGCTCAGGGTGGTGGGTGGGGCAGGCTTACTATTGTAGCTAGCTGTCCCACTTTAGTCTGACTTTACATCCCATTTCTAATCCTGATCAGTTATCTGAAAAGCCAGACTGCCTTGGCATTGGCGGGGCGCAGCCATTGGCAGCAGAGAAGCAGATGCGGGAGGATGGATTTCGTCCCTGTTCTCAGGCAGAAAGTATGTTGGGATTAACTGGAATCGGGGAAGAAAGACGCCAGCCGTTTCCATTGAATGGGTTTAAGCCAAGAGGCAGCAAATGCTTTTGTGGCTAACACCAGCTCCCTGTTTGAGTACTGAGACAGGTGTAGACTCCCCCCACTTTTGTTTTAAACCCCCCGCCCCCCGCCCCAATCCTCTCAGCAAGCCAAGCATTTGGCATACGTACCAGTTCCAGAAGGCAGCCTTGGAATGAGTGAAAAGAACATTTGCTGGACTGCCCTGTTGCACTTCCAAAATCCCATTGTGTAGTCGACTTTTACTACAGAGCTGTCTTATAGCTATTGTCTACCTCAGCGGTCCCCAACCATTCTGGCTTGACAGCCCGGCCGGGGATGGATGGGTGGGAGAGAGGGGGATAGCAATAGCCATAGCACTTATACTTATATACCGTTTTATAGTGCTTTACAGCCCTCTCGAAGCGGTTTACAGAGTCAACCTATTGCCCCCAACAATCTGGGTCCTCATTTTACCCACCTCGGAAGGGTGGAAGGCTGAGTCAACCTTCAGCCTGGTGGGATTCAAACTGCCAAATTGTAGGCAGCTGGCTGTCAGCAGAAGTAGCCTGCACTACTGCACTCTTAACCACTGCGCCACAGAGGCTCCTATATAGTTCGACGTGAGTGATAGGCAAGTGAGCGCAAGAGTGCGCATCTCCATTTGCGCGTGGAAAGGGAGCTTCACGTGCAAGCCTAAGCAGCCGCCACTTGTGCGAGGTAAGCTCCGCGGGAGGCTTTGCATGCGCACACATGCTCGTTTCCAAATACGCCATGGCCTGTTAGTGGGCCACAGCCTGAGGGTTGTGGACCCCTGGTTTGCCTCTATGTGCCTGTTGATGGCTGCTTTGCCTGAGTGCCTAGCAATTAGTAATGCCATCAGTTATGAGCTCTCCCCCTATTGAGAAAAGATATTTTAGAAATATATGTTGGCAGATTCTATAATACGACTGTTTTAGAAATACAGGGCACTGTCCTCTCGGACCACACATAGTGCAACTCCTCAACTTGCTACAGTTGAGCCCAAAATTTGTTGCTAAGTGAGACATTTGTTAAGTGAGTTTTGCCCCATTCCATGCCAGAGTTGTTAAGTGAATAAATGAAGTTCTTAAGTTAGTAACATGGTTGTTAAGTGAATCTGGCTTCCCCCCATTGACTTTGCTTGTCAGAAGGTTGCAAAAGAGAATCACATGACACTGCAATAGTCATAAATATGAGTCAGTTGCCAAGTGCCTGAATTTTAATCACGTGACCATGAGGATGCTGCAACAGTCATAAGTGCGAAAAACTTCTTCAGTGCTGTTGTAACTTGAAATGGTCACTTAAACGAACTATTGTAAGTCAAGGACTGCCTGTACATACATCTGTCTCAGCAGTTCTATTGATCTCGTGAAACCTGTTGTGGTTGTTGCTTGTTTTTTTAAAAAAATTAAGCTTAGCAAAGATCTCCAAAGTGTTCTGAAAGCTTCGGAAAACCATCTGCAACAGGCAAAGCTTGATTTTTCACCAAATGAATCACAACTGAGTTTTTCATTGGTCTTTATTTCTTGAAAAATGAGCTTCATTCGCTACACAGCATGGCAAAGAAATGAATCTTGAGGAGAGATTGGCAAGAAAGATGGGGGAAATTTAAGGAGTCCAAGTACCTGCTTTGACCAAAAAAAGGGGGCGGGGAGGCAGTGGGGGCAGTAAAAGGAATGCAAAAATTCCAGGACATCATGTCAGATTGTTTGGGACAGCCAATTCTATCTGAGTAGAGAATAAGACCGCAGAGGAGACAAGCCTCTCTTCAGGGAAATGTCACCGATTTGATTCTGAAGTCTCCATCGACCGCCAGATAATCAATCATATTAAGGCCCAGCCGGTTGGGGAAGACGATTTCTTCACTCCCTTCCGTTTTGACTCGGATGCCATCTTCCGTAAAACTGAAGGTGATCTGGAAGACATCGTAACAAGGGAAGATCAAGACCGAGCGCGGACATCAAAGTCTCTGTGGTGTTCTTAGGTGCTAAATGAACATCAAAGCCAATGGCGGGATTGGAATAACAACCGCTTCTCTGGCTGGGTAGGTGTGGCCAGTGGGTCATGTGACTGGATGGCTGATGTCACTCATCACACCCAACCCCCGCCTCCCAGCCACTCGCCTCAAAGGAAGAGGGAGGATTCAGCCGGTTGGGGCTAATCCCACCACTGGCTGACACTGGCCTCGCTCATTTTTCGGCCTATTTGGGGGGCGTTTGGGGGGATGTTTTCCAGGACATTTTTGGCCTGAAAAATGGCCCCAAAGGCCCCCAAAATGGGCCAAAAATGAGCAGGGGTGGGGCCAGCCTGTCGTGGGGTTTGCCAGTTCACCGAACTTAACTACTGGCTCAGCCGAACCGGTGAGAACCGGCAGCATCCCATCTCTATCAAAGCCATGTTTTACACTATGAAGGAAAAACATAAGTTTCTAACCCAGGGTTAACTTTGAAGTAGAGTAGACCTTACATGGTGCAGTTAAGGAAGTTCCTCCTAAAATGGTATCCTGGGATATGGGATGCATTTTCTTAGAGATAGTGTAAGGTTGATGAATCAAAGGATTCACAGATGTTTCCTCAATATGAACTAATAGTTACAGCAATGTTTCTTAACCTTGGCGTCTTAAAATAGGTGGACTTCAACTCCCAGAATTCCCCAATCAGACTTGATGGCTGGGGAATTCTGGGAATTGAAGTCCACACGTCTTCAAGTTGCCAAGGTTAAGAAACACTGAATTACAGCTTCATTGGAGTTGATTTTTAAAGAAGACTGTAAAGTAATTGCTCCCTTTTTACATATTTACTCACTCCCTCTTTACATAGATATCTGTATGTAAAGAACTTTAGATCTTCAAATAGACTTTAGATCTTCTAGGGCCTAGCCCTAGATTATTTTTATGATCAGGCAGAAAGACAATTGGGGCAATTATCCAAATATCTCTTTCATAGGAGGTCTCCAGTAAAGCTCACCCTCACGAACCTAAGTGCCTCTAGATGCATGGAATTCAGTTCCCAGAATTCTCAGCATAGTAGCTAGGGAATTTTGGAAGTTGTAGTTTGCACATCTGGAAGGCAACTAGATTGACAAGATGGCCCTGTCTGAGTTTTCCATGGTCTGATTCATACATGGGGTCATCACATATATATTTCATACACTTTCAGATTTTTGTGTTTTGCAAGCAAGCTCCATGGTTTATGGCTTAGCATGTTGTCTTTACTTACTAAAACACTGGGTTTTTTAATCATTTTTTATTTTCATCATATAATAATATACAAAAAAGAAAATAGGAAATTAAAGGAGGGAAAGGGGATGGGGGAAAGGGGGTGTGAAATACAAAGGAGAAGAGTAAAAGAAAAAAAAAAGCATTGATTTCCAACTTTTCCATGCACAGGTCAAGATAAACACACTCCAACCTCAACTTTTTGCTTTTACACATTCATACATAACTAGCTATTTCCACAACACCGAATCTTTCTAGTCAACAAAACCAAGATCAAAGTTTCATTTTCTTTCTTTCTTTCAGTTAAGGCCAAAGGATTTGAAAGAATACAATAAATTTGGTAAATAAAAATGGTGACAGCTCACAAAGATTACTAGGTGCAAATAGAAAAGCACATTGTTTCCATAGCAAGGAAGATAAAGCAGGAATGGTTAACTTGATTATTGAAAGAGGAAAGTAGGTTCTTATTCGGATATCATTTCTGGAATTTGTGCTTGTGAAGAAAAAAAAATGAAATATTGATCTTGGTTTGGTCGATCAGAAAGATGTGGTTTTATAAAACACTGTTTTTTTAAAAAAACCCAGATAGTACAAGGTGAATATACACAAGCATCCTATACCTTGCAAAAGGGGAATCACATGACATTGCAACTGTCATAAATACATGCCTGTTGCCAAGCATCCAAATTTGATCACGAGACCACGGGGGTACCGCAATGGTCATAAGTCTGGAAAACAGTCATAAGTCGCTTTTTTCAGTGCCGTTTGACTTTGAATTGGTCATTATAAGAATGGTTGCAAGT